AAATATCCCAAATCATTTCCCTTGACCCCGGATCGACCGGACAGTGGAGACTCGATATAAAATGTGTAACCAATGAGAGAAGGTCAAGGGAAAAGGTGAGAAAGGAGAGGTTGAAGAGGAAATGAACATCACCGCCCTTTAATTCCTCAACTGCTTGCCATTTGAATTCCTTTGGACTGCAATTTGGCCCTTTTACTCTCATTTTCATTCCTATTTTTTTTTATATATTTTTTTTGTTTATTTTTTGTTGTTTCTGACCTTTCAATTCCTTGACACTTCCAAAGGGGTTTTCCCTTATCAACTGGGGATTCCTCCCCTCTTTATTTCTTTGTCAGCATATTCCCCTGTCAACTTCCCCCGAGGCTTTTGCCCTCGTGCACCGTTGTGTGACGAACTTGTTCCATCCACGTTAATGGAGATACATCTCACTTCCGCTCTTTTACTTCCTATCTCGTAACTGTCCCAGTTATTAGAATGGGGCTCTCCGCCGGCGCCCATCACCGTCGGCGAAGCTCCATGCTTACCGGGACAGGGCGAGCCTCACAACCAATTTCGACAGAGCGCAGAGACGACACACTCTGGTCGCATGGAGACGGAGGGAGTCACAAACGCGAAGAACAAGAACCCTTAACCGCGGGAGATGACACTGATGCGTCCGATGTTTTATCCGCCGCCGAGACTCTAGAGTTGGACCCGATGAGTTCGGATGATGACCAATATGATGAGGAAACCGGACTCACATCACATCAAAAACGTCAGCGACGTCGACGGCGAAAGCAACGCCGCAAGTTGGATGCTCGGATCGCAGATGTCAAGGGACAGGGTTCTATTCGCGAGATTCTGTCGGACAGAAACGTTGTCAAGAAGCTACTAATCAACGGCGGGCTAATTCTGCTGTGGTATTTCTTCTCGCTGTCTATTTCAGTAGTGAGTAGTTATTCGCAAGTCGTTCTGAAAGTCGAGAAATGTACTAACAATTGTCATGTTTGCAGTACAACAAATGGATGTTCTCCGAGAACGATGTCGTCTTTCCTTTCCCTCTTTTCACCACGAGCTTACACATGGCTGTCCAATTCTCTCTCTCTGTTATAATACTCTGGATCTTTCCATCGCTTCGTCCGCGACAACCGACAGGGTCTGCAGCTACATCTCCTATAGATGGCCCCGAGGAACCACAGCCCCTCATGACCAAACTATTCTACTTCACTCGCCTCGTTCCGTGTGGTGCAGCAACCTCGCTTGATGTTGGTCTCGGGAACATGTCCTTAAAGTTCATCTCCCTTACTTTTTTAACCATGTGCAAATCATCTGCGCTTGCCTTCGTCCTGTTATTCGCCTTCCTTTTCCGTCTCGAGACACCTTCGACAAAATTAATCATCATCATTGCCACAATGACAGTAGGTGTCGTGATGATGGTCGCTGGAGAGACAGCTTTCAATGCGCTTGGCTTCGCACTCGTCATTGCGTCTGCGTTCTTTTCGGGCTTCCGATGGGGTCTGACACAGATTCTCTTACTTCGCCACCCGGCTACTTCAAATCCATTCTCAACCCTCTTTCTCCTGACTCCCATCATGTTCCTTTCCCTCATCACTATCGCGCTATCTATCGAGGGTCCTCATGAGATTTACCTAGGATACCTCGCACTCGCCAGCAAACATGGGAACCTATTTGGCTCGTTCCTTCTGATTTTCCCCGGAGTACTTGCATTCTGTATGATTTCCTCTGAATTTGCGCTTCTCAAGCGTTCTTCGGTTGTCACACTGAGTATCTGCGGTATCTTCAAGGAAGTAGTCACAATTAGCGCCGCAGGCATCATCTTCCACGATAAGCTCACGACAGTTAATGTGACCGGTTTGATCGTCACCATCAGCAGCATTGCAGCGTACAACTACATGAAGATTTCAGGAATGCGCAGCGAGCTACCGGAAGATGATTCATCGAGTCGCGAGTCGAGTCCTGCATCTGACACCGACGAAGGTGAGCATAGCAGTGGCGATCCGGCGGAGTATCGCCGAGTTGCCCATCAGGACCCCAGCATCATTAGCCCTGCACCGGGTGGTTACCTCAACGATGATCACCAATCATCATCAGCCGGCGACCAAAGGCGTTCATTCCGAGTGCGCTCTAGCGGTGCCAGGCGCGGTCTCTCAATCTCGACTTCTATCATTCTGGAAGATGATGGCCCGCCTTCTCTTAAATCAGCACCTGCTACTATCACTACAATGGCTGAGGCAGGGTTCCCTCACTTACATGCCCCTGATCGCGAAGCATCGCCGGGCGTGCAATCGAGCTCGTCTGTTTCGCCCGTTCGAAGCCAAAATTTCACCCAGCACTAGCATTTTACACTCATTCTTAACCACTCCTCTCTTATCTTCTATTCCCTATATTGCACATGCATGTGATACTTTTACGTCGTCTATACTCTCTTTGATGTTGGAGGGTCTGTGACCTACTCGAAGAGAACCTAGTGTGGCTCTTAGAATCGCATGTCTACTCTCAATAGATATGAATTGGTCGAACTCTGGATTGACCTGAACACGATTTTCTATTTCTGTTCGCATGAAAGGGGCTTGTTTGGATTTTGGCTTTGGCTTAACTGATACCATCAATTGAATTTCCTACTTTCAACAACTATATAAACATTTCATCTTTGCTGATTTGTATTTTGAGACTTTTGAGTTGTTATGATATTGTTCTTCATTATTATTTAGTTTGAAAAATGATATAGAAAGTACACAGAAACCCAGCAAATATTTTTTATTGTATTGCCAAACCTCTGCTATGAGTTCAAGAAAGAATACACATCTACTCCTTCGCAGAACCACCCTTCATCATGTCCATAAGACTCTTCTGTCCTTTGGCTTTTCCGGGTCCCTTGGCTTTCTTTTTCTCGTCCGCCTCGAGCTTACGTTCATACTGATCCTGGTGTTTCTCGCGCTCCGCACGACCCTCCTCTGAAAGGCGAGCCTCAAGAGCCCGGAACTCTTCGCCCTCGGGGTCCATACCAATCAGCGACTCAAGTAGTTTAATCTCACCCGCCCATACACCCGGGTCGGGAACAGCAGCTGCACCCGCACCAACAGGTCTCTTGGGACCCTTCTTTGGCTGTTTCTTCTTCCCAGAGTCGCTACCACTTACTTCAGCTGCATCGTCTCCAGTAGTCACATTCTGTCCTGGGACACGGTCAATAGGCGTCTCAAGGACCATAGGTAGCCCCTCAAACCGTGGCTCATTCATGACATTGTGGAACGCGCGCAGACCGAGGAATCCCGTGCCGATATTAGCGTGGAGGTCGCGCTTACTTCCGCGCGGTGCCTTTGAGTCATTGAGATGGAGCGCTCGGAGGAATCGAATTCCGATTAGCTCGTCGAATTCGGCGAGGAAGGCTTTGAATCCGGCGGGGGATGTCAAATCGTAGCCGGCTGCGAAGCTGTGGCATGTGTCGACGCAGATGCCGATGCGGGAATGGTGCTCTTTCGGGATTAGAGCTAGCAAGTCGCGGAATTCGGACAGTGCGCCGCCAATTGTGTTGCCATGGCCGCACATTGTTTCCAGAACGGGAACTACGGTCGTCGTCTCGGTGATGGCCTGGACTAACATCTCTGCCAGGCGGGCAAGTGCTTCGGGAAGAGGTGTTTGGTTGGTACTTCCGGGGCTTAGGGGTGTTAGTATGGGCTGAGATGGTTGGCAGACAGTCGACTCACTGGAAGTTGTAAAGCTTGATTCCAAGTGCCTCGCACCGGCGGAGATCATCCAGGAAGGAGGTGTATGCTTGCTTAGATTTGGCTTTATCATCTTGCGCCAGATTGACAAGGTATGAGCCATGAGGGAGAACGTGTCTGGGCAGTAGATGTCAGTGATCCATTCGGGTACAACCAGATTTGTGGGGGGGGGGGGGAGGTGGGGTATTCACTTGGCTGCATCATAACCCTTTTCTGCGCAAAGTTTACGGAATTGATCGCGATGGTCGTCCTGGAGAGCTGGATTTTCCCATTTGCGCTGTGACTTCAAGAACAAGGCGAATGCGTTTCCTCTAATTGTAAGATTAGGCCCAATTTCAAACTTAGATGTACTTGGAAGACCATCAAACTTACCCAATGTTCTCACTATTATGTATGGAATTAAAGACACCTGCTCGATGAGCATTGAGTTATTATCAAATTGGGGGGATGAGGTGCCGAGAACACTGACCTTTTGCAGCACTGACGTGAGCGCCGACGAACATACGCAGACCCTTAGTCCGCGGTGCCAAAGGCATACTCTCAAGTTCTTGGTCTTTCTTAGACTTTCTCGCCTTTTTAGGTTTGACGTCTTCGTTGGACTCCTTAACAGGGGCTTTCTTAACTGGGGCCGTCTGTTTCTTCTCCTTGGCAGGAGCAACCAGAGGTTTGTCGTCGGCCTCCGACTCTGAGTCTTCTGGAGAAGAGAGTTCTTTCAAATTCGTTGTGGATTTCTGTCGTTTGGATCGTCTCGGTGGCGAAAGTCCAGATGTTCCATTGCTGAGATTCCGTTTATGGTTGACCATGGATCTAGAGTCTTCGCACGCTGGCGGCTCAGAATCTTGGCAACACATAGCACTCAACGTGTCACAGTGTAGAGCCTCTTGAGCTGAATGGGTACCCTGATCGAAGACCCGAAGATGTTGATATTGCCAAGCCTCGTGGATCAAGATAGGACCTTACACACTCTGAAGACTCACAATGACCAAAATACAGATAAAGTATATGGTCATGGAATCAAATTGAGCTTGTGTAATAGTTAAACGTTTAACTTGAGTATTCTATCCTCTGATGCTGTCAGTGAGAGTATAACTCAAGGAACCCAAGGAAGAAGTAAGGACCACGTGATTGTCTCCCGGGCAACAGTCATGTGATGTTTATCGATAACCAAAGAATCTCCTTGCAGCCCCGCCAGAGTTACTACTTGTCTTTTTTGAACTTTTGGTCTTCGACAGAATCTGGGATCTGTGTGATCTCATCTCATCTGTCGTTGTCGCTAATATGGCAGCCTCTGATGACTTGGTCGATTTCGATATCATCGAAGCACAAAAGGAAAACGTCCAATCACTCCCCGGTGGCCGATCAGCGAGAGAACTCGCCCGGATATTTTCAGCCGGCAGCAATAGCGACAAGATCCCCTCCCCATCACCAAATGGCACCAGGACCATCAACGATGCTATGCGCCAAGAATTCGAAAGTGAATTGCAGTCGATAGGAGAATCGGACGATCCGCTCGATGTTTATGACCGTTATGTCAAATGGACCCTGAACGCGTATCCGTCCGCACAAGCGACCGCAGAATCCGGCCTTCTCCCCTTATTGGAACGGGCAACGAAGTCATTCCTTTCATCATCACACTACAGAAACGACCCTCGGTATCTACGATTATGGCTTCATTATGTTCGACTCTTCTCCGATGCCCCACGCGAAACCTTTGCATTCCTTGCGCGTCATCAAATCGGTGAAAGTCTGGCTCTTTTCTATGAGGAATTTGCCGGGTGGCTAGAGGGTGCTGGTCGGTGGTCACAAGCCGATGAGGTATACAGGCTCGGGATGGACCGTGAGGCGCGACCAGTCGAGAGATTGGCACGGAAGTACAGCGAGTTTCAATTCCGATACGACCAGCGTCCGCAAGATACCGGGCCCTCGTCGCCTGCTTTGCCGACTGTTCGTCCCGCGCTGGCCGCCAAGATGAACCCGTTCGCAACATCAGATGCCTCTGCTGACTCACAAGCTTCACGGCCCCCGCCTCAGACAAGTGGTGCCGCAAAAACCAAGTCTGGAAAGCCTAAGATGGCTATTTTCTCAGACGCTGACTCTGCTGCGCCGGGCCCCGCAACTGGTGGATCGACAAAGGGATGGGAAAGCATTGGGTCGATTCGGGACCGCAAGAAGGAGAACGAAGTGGAGGCAAAGCCATGGGCAGGGGAAACATTGAAGGTTGGGAAGAAAGCAGCGCCAACACAAAAGATGGCCATCTTCCGGGACGAGGTGAGTTCCTATTCCAGGTTGCCCTTTTCCTCTTCAGACCTCCACATATTTACGATCACAGGACTAATTGCTGGCATGAACCTATGGTGTTTTTATTATGTATTCAGTCAAATCCAGATCTTCCTTCCAAAGAACCAATGCCACCCAAAGAAATACCCGAACATCACGTAAGGGAAGCGATTAACCCGCGGACCGGCCGACGCGAACGTGTATTTGTCGACCTAGAATCCGTATACCCTGACCGCACCAACCCTGCACATGAGATGAGCTTTGAAGAGCTCAGGGCTATCAAGCGTGGTTGGATGGGCAAGAATTGGCGGCAGCAAAAAGAGCCCTTACAACAAATCTCTGGGAACGCAGGCAGTACCGAGTCCCTACTGGGGAAATCTCATTCGCCCGAGGAATTGCCGGAGCATTTAGGTCGAAATCTCACCGCAGCTAGTCACGCTCAATCTCAATATCAAGACGATGGCCATGGAGGCAAATCTGGAAGAGCGAGTCGCACCAAGATCAAAGGGGAAATAACACAAACACAAACAGGTGAGTAGCATCGGTTTTTTTAATTCTTTGGGCAGGTTAAACTCACACCTGTGTAGTCAAAATGAAGTTTGACTCCCCTTCCAATAACAAAAAGGTCCGGCGAAAGAGTACTCGGGAGCCGACAATGACCATGCACACTCGTGCAGCGACAGATGAGATCTATAGCATTTTCAATCAGCCATTGAAGGCAGAGACTGAAGAAGATGAAGATAGCTTCTCCGGTAGCGATTACGAAGATGACGACTGCGCCAGTGCTGGAGATAGTACAGGGACAGGGCACATTTCAGCAGCCTCGAGCGACTTTGGAGACGAGGAGACCCAAACGTTCCACAAATCCTACGATGACACCGACTATGCTAACACCACACGAGCTGAGAGCGTCGATGGCGATGGCGATGGCAGTGATTGGACAGAGTTCAACCCAGATCGTGATATCCCGGATATTGAAAATGCTGAAGTCACTTCACATTCTGTCGTCGGTGATGGAGCGGATGATAGCTCGACACAAGGAACACCGGAGAGGAAAGGTTTCATACCAGAAATGCCCGAGGACTATGCTCCTCCATGGGGGACCTACCGTGACCCTGCGATCATGGCCCAAAACCGCCTACCCTTTATGACACCTATAGTGGAGCGAACGGAATCCATTCCTTCTATGACGGCCGCTCGAAACAGTATTTACAATGCGAAAACGCCTTCTAAGCCTCGATCACCGGCCGGTAACCTTCTGCTTTCCAGTCCACTGGGAACAGACACACCGTACCAAGGAGATAATACTGTTGCGTCTACGGCCGATGTACCATTCAGTCCCATGGCCTTCAAGGCCCTCGCACCCAAACTTCGGAGACGGGAACCAATAATTAGGGATGCACAGTGCAATCCGACCGACAAAGGCATTCGCAACACGATCCTCAATTCCCTGGAAAAGCCACTTGCAACGTACATGGGTTATCACGGCCATGTTGAAGATAGCAACTATGCTTCGATGATCCAGAAATTCGTCAAAACTAACACCAGGCGATCAAAGAGTGGCGGGGGTGATGCATTTGACACACCTATTCTCGAATTCCCAGGAGCGGAACGAAGCTACATTATCAGACGTGAGCTAGGAGCTGGTGCATATGCCCCCGTTTATCTCGCCGAGAGTGTCGACAGTCTTGAATCCTACGACTCCGACTCCGACGATAGCACAAGCCCAAAGGGCAAAACTTCCCAACTGAGAAAGTCGAACGCTTATGAGTCTCCCCGATTCCCCTTCGAAGCCGTCAAGGTCGAAAACGGACCTTCAAGCGCGTGGGAGTTTTACATGCTTCGCACAGCGTATAGCCGCTTACGACAATCTACGGATCATTCTCGTGCCGCCGATAGCATTGTTCGCGCACACGAACTGCATGTCCATCAACGTGAAAGTTTCCTAGTGGAGGACTATCGAGGACAAGGCACCATACTCGACCTCGTCAATATCGTCCGCAATGAGGCCATCAACCCCAACCATACTTCTGAAGGCGGTCTCGAGGAGGTCCTAGCAATGTTCTTCTCTGTCGAGCTGTTCCGCACTGTCGAAGCACTCCACGCCAACGGTGTCCTCCACGGCGACATCAAAGCCGACAACTGCCTCGTCCGCCTAGACGACCACAATCACAACGAATCGCCCTCCAAGGCCCTCTCCCTGCTCGACCTTGGTGCCGATGAAACCGCTGTTGATCCCCGCGAAAGTATTCACTACTCTCCAAGCGGCTCCCATGGCTGGCAACAAAAGGGCCTAGCTCTGATCGATTTCGGCCGCAGCATCGACATGCAAGCCTTCTCGCCAGCCGTGCAATTCATCGCCGACTGGGAAACCGGTACGCATGAGTGCAACGAGATCCGTGAGATGCGCCCTTGGACCCACCATATCGATCTGTACGGTATTGCCGGCGTGATCCATGTCCTTCTATTCGGCAAATACGTCGAATCAACTGCCATTGATGGCAGCGACGGCAACCCATCATCCCGCACCTATCGCATCCGCGAATCTCTGAAGCGATACTGGGACCGTGAACTCTGGGCTGGTGTCTTCGATCTCTTGCTGAATCCTGGCGCTGAGCGCTGGCAGCGCATTGAGCGCGAGAACGTAGTCGATGCGGGTATGTCATCCGCGCCTATTCTGCCTGTCTTACATTCCATGCGGCATGTTCGTCGCGGCATGGAGGAGTGGCTCCTTGCCAATGCTGAGAAGAAGGGTCTTGCTCTTCAGATTCGGAAGATTGAAGTTCTCCTTGCGGAGCGGAAGAAGAAATTGGAGAAGTGATTATATTCTTTGGCGCGCTTCTTTATTGCGTCGAATTGCCTCATTACAGATATCTTTATAACTTATACCCCCATTTTATTCTCATGTTATTTGTTGCTTCATATTTTTATTCTGGTCTACTCTTGTTTGTTGATATGCTTGTCTGATCTGTAGATATTATCTGCTCTTAATTCTTCATTACACCAGGCCGGCTATTCATTGGCCATGCAAGTATCTTGTGCTCCTCTTGCTCACTTCTGTTGGAACCTTCCACAAGTAATGTCTGAACGGACGAAAATAGAGCTTACCTAGCAGTATGGCCCCTAAGACTGATCAAGCCTTGTATAAAAGAGCAGGTACAATTCGTAACATGTGTTCCAAGACTGTTCCAAGGCCGAGGGGGTATAGGGGTCTATCCGCTGCCAAGGATGCCTGCAAAGTGCACATTGAGCATGATAAACGCGAGAGGTGATCTGCTCAGGAATCCAGGTACGAAGTTACCAGCAATCGGTGATCTACAACCAAAAAAATGGATGAAAATGGAAAAGGTGATAATTCAATTGGCGGGATCGGTTCGATCAAAGCCATTGCTCTAAAAGATCAACCCACGCGGAAAGATAAATCAGAAGAAAAATAGATGAAACGGCCAAACTCTCACAAGCTCCAGAGGAAGATCACAAAGATCCAGCAAAAAAAAGGCTCTGGGAAAAAAAAAGACAGACATCCATACGCCATGAGACGCAGAAGAGGCAAGAAATAAGACCGGAGGAAAAAAAAGACACGCGATTATCCGGATGCAAACCCAATAAGGCTCGTCACAAGGGGAATCATGGAGCGCGAGCTGAATCAAATCGAGAATCAGAAGCATGGGGTAAATCGGGGATCACCAATCGAGAAGGGGAAATATCTGGGGAAATGAGCTTCAAGATTGAGATCATGGATGCAAATTAAGAAGAAATGGGGATCGCTGGCAAAAGAAAACCAAACACCTCGCTTGCGTATCAGGGATGTCGTTGGTCAACTGCAATATTCATGCGCGTTCGTTTCGTTTCAGTTCGTCTATGTACTTGCATATGTATCGTTGCACATTCGCTTTTTTGGGGGGGGGGGGGGGGTGGGTGCATTGCCATCTATGTTGACTGACGACGGTCAACATAGAGACAGGGAGTCGTTTCCATGTGTGATGGGTAATTCGAAAGGCGACCATTGTCAAGTCGGGTAGCATCTCCAGGATGACATTGTGGATTGTGGGAAAGGTATGTTGTCACCTATATGAGATGCGGAGGATGAACGGCTAGACAAGGTCTGAGAAAAGAAGATAAAAGAGAATTGTAAGGAGCGTGGGTCGCGAAAATAGCGAATGGTTGCTGGTTGGTGACAGCAGATATGGGTTTTCGGGTTGTTTTCAACTTTTTTTGGTGTTTGAATTTTGTTCGGGGTGAAACCCCATTGGAAGAAAAGGAAATGAGGTTGTAAGTGAATGAATGATGAAACTGTGCTGATTTCACCAAGTAAAATGTGCCAGAACCACACACACACACAACGTGGTTGTTGGTACAAGACCAACGAGGTCATGTTCGTAAGCAGGTAACCAACAGCCAGATGCCGATGTACTGTGTGCGGGTTTCGACTAAATGTAAAGTGGAAAGACCCATCACTTTTTTTGGGTTTTGTTTTGTTTTTGTTTTTTTGTCGTTGAGGTTTCAGTATTGCGATGTTGAGGATTGAGCGTGAAGAAAACATCTCAAACGTATCGTTACAGTCGTGGATGGTGTTGCTGTCGTAAAAAAAAGGCTATGCAAGGGGCGTACCAGGGCCCTGTCGGTATCTCGTTCAAGTCATAATGCAAAGGGGATAAAATCTCGCAGAAATCGACGCCACGATGAAACGGATACTTGGAAATTCGACAGCAAAAACGAGTGCAACTTAGTTGCGTGTAAAAGGCATATTCAAGATTTGCCGGCGGATGCGCTCAGCATCAGAAAGGCCGTCCTCTGAGGCATTGTATGGCAAAGTACCCGGTGCTTTATCATGTACTTGAGCCGGAGAAACCTGCATGGGAGAAGTGCTGTCATCAGGTCTGACATATGAAGAACCACTGCTCGAGAACGGATCAGACAATGCAGGTGCTTGTCTGATGACTCGCTTCGGGGCTTCGCGACGCTTGTGCCCTCCTTCGATCCGGAAGGGGGAACCAAGGCGTTTAATGTTCTCGCCAAGGTCCAACAATGGGTTCATGGGGGGTTTCAGAATGGATGTCGTCTCTTCGGGTTCAATTGGGCCTGAGTTGAGGGACGAGGGCGGAGAAAAGAGCTGGTCCATATCTCTGGGATTGACAGCGCTAGTGGTAGCTCCACGATTGCGAATGCGGACCCGACCATGGCCCATGTCTTGGAACTTGTTTTCACGAACATAGTCCTCTAAGCGACGTTCGACTTCTTGGTCGGAAGGATTCTTCTGTTCCCTGGCTACGCTCGCGAAGACATCATCAGTATCAGGCAAAGACTGGTCGAAGTACGTGTTGCGTCGGGCACGATAACCCGGAACATGGACGGTCCCACGTCGAGGATTGGGATCATGAACCTGGCGATTCGATCCCCCGGGGCCCCAAGTGCTGTACACGAATGGGGATCCCAGACGAGGGATGTTAGGAGCAGATTCCACACGAATATGTTGGCTAGGAGTCTTGGCCACTGGTGGCTCGACATGAGCAGACACGGGGTTGTTAAACCAGTCCGTAGTCAACGGCAAGTCTTGTGTAACCTGAGAAAGTGGAGTCGGTTCGGAGGATGTGACAAGAGAAACGCCGAGGTCACGAGTAGTGTACGCCGAGTTATCAGCGAAGTCTTTAACGCGGGTATCCGTAGGAGGGCCGAACATCTCCGTGACAGGCTCGGGAGTGCGAGACTGCATGATGCGCTGATAGTGGGGAGAAATTGAGAATTTCCGTCGACATAGCATTTTGAGGCGCCGTCGAGTCTTGGAATCAGACTTGGGCCAGGCTGGCTGTGACTCTTCGTCCATAGCCTTGGGTGTAGAAATTCCAATGGGTTCAACAAACTTCATCGAGACAGATTCAATAATGCGACTGCTCTTTTGGGCCCATGTCTTCTTGGCGCGTCTTGCAACACGCGAGGTGACTCCCAGAGGGGGGATACTGCCCGGGGTCATTTTGAATGGGGTCATAGTAGGATCCTGGAGGTAAATTTGATATGTATTCCACAAGTGGGTATCCATCTCACGCGTCCAGGACTTCTTGGACACTTTGACATTCGCCGACTGTTTCTGAGGTCGCGAAGGCGACTCAATCTCAGGTTCTTTAGACATCTCCAAGGGGAAGTATGAGTCAAATAAATCGCTCTCGACACTGGTGAAACTTCCTACGGATGGTCGTGATGCGAAGGTTTCAATAGATTCAATTGAAGAATTTGACAAAGTCGAGCAGACCGAGTCTGGGCGTTTGATACTGTTTGGGCCAGGTGTCTGGTCCCACGATGGCCACGGGTTACCCGCCTCGCAGGAATCGAAAGGTGTGCCGCGGATCTGCGCAGGTGGCGTCTTAAAATCCATTCGCGTGCGAGGAGGCGCAAGATATCCCTCATCATTGGCGAAATCACGGAATGAAGGCGCCTCCAAGTCAGTCGATTGGGGCACTTCAATCGAAGGCAGTGGAACATCGGAGCCGTGAAATTGGAACATGTCCATGTCCATGCGAGCGCAGACATTGGTACCAGCGCGAGCCCGAACTCTAGGTAGGCGGCCGCTAGAGATTGAGTGACGAGGTGGCGGAGGTACATTCATAGTGGCGCGAGGGCGCTCGGGGGTCTTGGGTTCATTGTCGCCGAGGGAGAAGGTGAAGTTCTTGGGCAGAGTACGCGAAAGTTGACGTTGAGCCATACTAGCAATCTTGCGGTCTTCCGAACCGCAGAATGTGGGTCAATGCGACTTCTAGGAGGTACTCGAGGACGTGTCGGGGGGAGGGGGGGTGGAGTTGAGAGTGGATGAGTACGGCGCGAATTCGAGTCGAAGCGCGAAGCGTCGCGTCAATGTCGTGAATCGTGAAGGGGAGAAAAAGGAAAAAAAAAATGCAACGAGAGCAAGAGATGCGGGAGTAACGTGAGAATAGAAGGAAAAAAACCGAGGTCTCGGTCGTGATGTGCTTCCTGAGGAATGCGGCAACTTGGAATCGGGGATCACCAGATCACATCTGCGGCTCCATCCCGTCCGAGTAGTAGGGAATGAAGGATTTCGTCATTACCCGAAAAAAAATAACACACAAAAGAAAATAACGTTCTCCTCAAACGGAGAAAGAGTGCGAGAAAATACCTCGCGATAATGGTGGAAAGGGTTGGTAGAGGGAGAGGGAGAGAGGAAGAAGAGGAAGAAGATGGGGGATTGGGCGTAGGGTGAGGCGGGAGTGGGAGGGGGGTACTTGGTACCTGTACTCCCCGTGGTGGACTGCCCACTGAACTTGGTACCCTGTACTTGGTGGACTTGGCCCACTGGGAAAATCTTATGCGTTGTTAACTAAAAAAAAATTAAAAAAATTATAACAGTATCAAATGTGAAGTCTTCAATTGATCCTCTCATTTCTCTCTCTTCTTTACAGCTGTTTTTGTTTAGATTTTCCTCCAGTCTTTCCTATATAGAATGGCTGTGGACACATCCGGGCCTTGCTTGATGCAGGCACTGTAGACGAATAATTTCACTACAGGACTTTGAACGGAACCACCTTGGGAGGTAAGGACACCTTGAGCAAATAAGGTGCTTTTTGGCTCTAGAGTTTGTAGGTATCAATGCAGGCTGTACGGAGTACAGCGTACAGCTTACAGCTTACTCTGTAGTCCGTGTTGTAGACCTCATAAATGAGGGGGGCTGGTGTTTGAGATCAGGTACCATGTACGGAGTACTCGGAGTACTACGTATGGTAGATCGAGTCTCCGTCTTCAAGACATTGTCTCCAGCCGTTCACTCCATAGCTGCAAGGGCTTGTACAGAACAGAACCAAGAACGGCCAGCCTGCGTATAGAAGTGCAGCTGATGGTCGTCTGCACTGATATTCTTCAGCTCATCTTTCCTTTTTTTTCCCAACTACCAATCATATGTTTGCAGTGGCTCTTCAAAAAGTAAAAGTCCCTTTCATAGTGAATTGGTTTGTTGCGTTCAAAGAAACGGAAAACCAGCTTGGTACGGGTACCTGGGTACCGTAGATCAGCGGTCACATTTTCTCATTGTGCGGTCTGGATCTATGGAGCCCTGGAGCCCGAGCTACCCAAAGAGACAGGGCCAAAGACCCATATAACCCCATTGGGACGGGTGGAGGCGTTGCGGTTGGAGAAGCTTCACGTTCATCTTTCTCCACTGACGCGTGACGCGTCCGACACACGTGTTGAAATATTACTGTATTATTACTATTTACTCACTGTATAATTACCAGTCACGTGGTGTCTTACCTGTGAACCCTCAAAGGGGACCTCGACTTTTTTGTATGTATTCATATATATATTTATATATATATATGAATGCAACAGACTATGGAGTATAAGGGTGACTTATACACTGTTAAGCATTCTGCATTGAAATTCTGTTCCTGAATTATCTGATTCAGATATCCATTCTCAACAGATTTAATACCAAGATCTCATCTCGCTTACAATGGATAACCACAATATACCCGCAGAACTGTGGGCTAGATGCCAATGAACTCCACTTTCGAGCCAAGTCATATCTACCTCGATAATATTCGAATGGGTCAATCAAAAATCCAGCTTATCCCACAGCTTGTAAGTAACATCATATCCACGGTGACTGAAACACACAAAGCCTAGCGAGTATCCAATATGTATAGAACACAAAAGGGCGGGGAGAAAGCGCTGCTTACATCCATCCACTACTCCCCTAGGAAATCTAGGTCAACCTCTGACTTACGTGACCGGAACAGAATCTGAACTCGTGGGTCGGTGATAGACTCAACCCCATTTTCAATGTTGGGAGGTCGACCGCCGCTCTGCAGTTTCCAATCGTACTTCAGAAGCAAATGAAGGAGCATGATTTTGGTTTCATTGGCAGCGAAGAACCGGCCCGGACAGGCATGGACACCATGGCCGAAGACGAAGTGCTCACTTGTCGTCGCAACAAACTGATGCTTGTGTTCGTTGCCGGGCTGCTTGCGTTTGTTGCAAAACCGGTAACCATCATAAGTAGCAGCATTAGGGTAGATAGTGTCATCTTCCAGTATTTTCATAGAAACGAACATGTTGGCGCCTTTGGGGACCACGGTTCCATCGGAGAGCACAATTTGCTTAAGGGCGAGGCGGTTCATGGAGGCTGTTGTGGGGTGTGTCAACAATTGATTCTTTCAAGAGAGAGAAAAAAGTAGGTTAAATGAATGAAAAGATCGAATGAACATCAACGGAGCACTGAAAGAAAATGGATAACTTACTCAAGGAGAGTGGGTTAGTACGCTGCGATTCCTTCATCACACTGTCCATCAACTTCAACTTGAGCAAACTAGTCTTCTTCAGAACTCCATCCTCAGCAGCAACCGCACAAATCTCATCACGCAGCGGCTGGATATACTCCGGGTACGCCGCGAGGTCATACATGACGTTGGTTAACAAGTTTGACGTAGTATGGATGGCCGCCAGTGCCAAACCAACCTGCGCACAAGATTGATCAAAGGTCAAGTTATCCCGGGCTTCGGCGGTTTCACGATACCAGTCCAGAGCATCGGATCCACGAGGTGGATCATCTGCAGGGAGCTTGCCCGCGCGGATCAACGCCCGCCTGTCTATCTCGCGGCTAATGATGGAGCGAGCCATTTCCAGGTGTGTGCGTAGCTTCTGGGTAGAGGGCAAGAACCAGTGTACGATCGGATGAAGAATGGATGGCCATTCTCGTAGATCGCGCATAGCCATAAACGCATCGATGGCATAGTTCACAGAGACATCAATCCACTCATCGTCGTGGGAGATGGTCTCTCCAACAAATATCAAAGAAGAGAGGCGGGCTATCATGTACGGGATCTTTTGTGCGATGTGGTAAGACTTCCATTCTGCCAAAAGAAGAAGCGTCAGTGGGAGGATTCAATGCAAATGGGGGTGCTTTAGCATACCATCGGTGGGGGGCAAGTGTTCATTCAATATCGCACCGGACTCCTTTGAGAGCCGAAGTGATATGGACCCTGTTTAAATGAGAAAGATAAGTCAATTCTGTCTGTTAGATGAGATCTGAGATGTATTTATGTAAAGACATACCGAGCGCCTGGGTCAAACTGGTACGCACGATCTCCACGGTAGCTTTTAGAGCAGTACCATTATGAAATGGTCCAAACCCAGGAATGCGGTCATTAAAAAATGTCTATACGCAAGTTAGCCATGGTCACCAACTATTTCCGGCTTCATAGCCTGCCTTTTTGATTGAGTCATCAAAACTCAGATCTGGGTTGTTCTTGATTTCATCGACAAACCTTGGGTGCAGTACAACTATCGGGCTTGTGGCTCCGGTGATCTGAAAGACATTGACTCCCTGTGAAGGTCTATTAGCGTATTTGAGGGCAGAGAATGTTGTCATTGATTCTTATTTAGACTCACCTTTGCAAATCCTTCAGCAATCAGTTGACGACATGACTGAGTGAAGCGTTGCCGGGCCTTTTTGTTGGTAAGCTCCCACCAGGTCTTTCCAACCAAAGGAATGTGTCTATGTGGAATCCCATTTGCTATATCTGCCCATACACTTGTTATGAACACCGCCACTAGAGCGATGCACACACTCTGTACAACATAGGGAGAGTTGAGCAATTCAGTGATGACTGCCATAGTCAAGGTCAAGGTCAAGGTCAAGGCTGAAATGGGGAAGAGGGGACAATAGAAGCGACACCTCAAATTTCTAAGGCTTAATATTCTCCGAGGACCTACTCATTTATAATAGTTACCGAGCTATCAACCAGTCAGGGAAACTCCCATTTTCCAGCAACCAACCTTGGACTGGATATTCAAACCAGGGGGACCCCACGTAGGGCGTAAGGTATCAAATGCTGTCAAGTGAACCGAACCGAGCCAAAGCTAATCGTTGGAAAGTTACAGGTCCAATAAATTCTAAGCGACCAATTCCCTTCACCCAGAACGTCAAAGCTCCGATAAACAATATTCTTGGCCTACATCGAGGTATACCTAGCCTGGAATGCGAGAACGAGAGCCAAATTAAGCGATCCTTACCCGAATAGGCAATTCTTGAATGGGGTTTCTATTCCACCTGGATCCACTTGCATATGCAGATGTTTTCCAATCTATGTTGTATAGGCGTGCCAATGATAATAGAGGCCTGTTTATCCTGCAAGTTGAACGGTAGAATCATTGAAGAGGAAACCAGCTCTGTACTCCGTAGTACAAGAATAAGAAAGTCTCGGTAGCCCTAGCACAAGAAGAGCTCTTTTTTGGGGGAAGACTAGATGAAGACTTATTAAATAGCATTAACAAAATATCTAATATCTAAGAAGCTAACAAGCTAACAAGCTAACAAGCTAACAAGTTACTACATATCATATGTTGTGTGTAATCCTCAAATATGAAGCTCTTAACTGGTCGCCACTTATATAGCTTAACGGATTTAGGCTAGTAAGATCCATGGGTTGCATTCCGCCAAGACCCCGCATTCGTCTGATTGTCTTCCAAGGTTCACTTCCCCCGCTTAAAAGTCATCTTCTCAACTTCACCTCAAGAATAACCGTGAATATGGGTGACTCCGGAACTAATGCTCCATATGCACTCTCCACTCCTGTCGGCAACAGCCCGCTACAGCCCTCGGCCTCGCTTAATGAGATATCCGTCCTAATAACAGGCTTTGGGGTAAGTGATCTGCACGTCGGATGCTACTAGTATCCGACCCGAAACTAACTG